ATAAAAAAAAAAAAAAAAAAAAATTTAAAAAACCCTGCATTGGTCACAGCCAGGGCCAGATTAACAAAGGGGCTACTAGAGCGCCCACCACTGAAAATATGACCAGCCCGGATCGCCTCCGTATGCACTAAGGCAATCCGGGCTGGTGTTCTATCATTTCTCTGGACCTCATAAGAATGCTGTCACTTTCAGTGCAGTTACATCATCAGCTGTTTTACTAATTCCCCATCATGCGCAAGCACACCTGGAGCGACTTGGTCGAGGAAAATTACAGGCCACTCGCTGGGAGAGATCCCACTACTAAAAACAAGCGGGACAAGGAGAAATAATTTGGGCTGAGAAAAATTATAAAAACAAGGGCGCATGTGCGTTGAGCCTAGCACGCCTCCAACAGTTGAGGCTACAGTCAGAACGAGACTTTTTTGAATGGAGGTCCAAAAAAAAAAAAATTATAGAACACACTGGCCAGGCTGAACACAATCGGGCAGAGGCGTCAGCAGCTCTCCAATCGGGCATATTAGGCAGCCATGATTTCAGAAACATCTCAAACTGATGCCATCGACACAAGCCTAAAAGCCTGTTGACACACCCTAAGAGGAGTAAAAGAAATCCTTTATGTAATGGAACAGAAGTGATAATAATTTAATACTCTCCGGTGTACTGGATTCCTGGTGCCCAACTGGGTGCTCTGGTTCCTCCAGCCAGCTGCTACATCACTGTGTCCTTTAGAGACATAGCACTCAGCAGAAGGAACCACAGTGCTCAGCGGGGAACGTACTAGCCAACACACCCAGAAGTGTCAGACATCGGCGCTGCTCCTAGCTCTACAAGAGAGAAGATTTCAGTCACCAGATCCGTTACAGGATGCACGTGGCCAGATTATTTCTACATAAAAAGGAACATGCTTATTTTAAGCTGAACTTACTCATTGAACAGTTAGTCCAGTGACACTGCGCACACTCACCAAGAGTCTGCGTCCCACAGCCAAAGGGGGCTGGAGAGGAGAAGCCCAGGCCCGACTTCTCTACAATCTTCCTCACCAGGCTGAAACCATTGCTATGGACTCCAGAGGAAGCCACGCCGATAACCAGATCTCCCTCTGTGATCCTGTCCAGTAATGGCAGCATGTGGCCCCTCTCCACCGCTCCTACTGCAAACCCGGCCAGGTCATACTCGCCCCGGGCGTACATGCCTGGCATCTCCGCAGTCTCACCCCCTGCCAGAGGACAAACAACAACGTGTAACTATACAATAACATTCCAAAATAAAAGTATAAAATAAAGAAAAAACACACAATAGATTTTTCTCATCTGATATTATATACAAGGGTGTCACAGTTCCTGCAGGATTAACATTTTCATTGTATAAAACTCCTTTCAGTTAAAGCCCAACTTTACTTTCCCCCAGTTTTGGACAGAGCTTATGCTTTCCAGTATGGTCATGACAAATTCCACCCATCCCCCGGCTATTACTTGTATGGCTGTCACAAGGACTAGGGAAAGCCAATTTCCTCAATGGGAATCACAGAATGATCCCTTACCCACTCTATCCAAAACTAAAAAATATGCTTGTGCAGGTGGTGGGAAGCTTAGTGTATGGATAGGCAAAACCAGTTTTGGGGAGGATTAGAACCAGTCGGTTTATTGTTGTCTGTGCCCAGCTTAAAAAATAAATAAAAATAGTTCTGTCCAAGACTAGAAAACAAATTGGCCTACAGATACACTTTGTATTTCCATTTCTGCAGCCAAACTGGGATAACACTTGTTTTATATTTGTTACATGTTCTCATTCACATTGCATAACTTTAAGTTAAAATTAAATTGCTGCTTGCACAATATTTTTTTAATTTTAGAACAAAAAAAAATAAAAAAAAGTTATTTCTAGGTATGCTGTGTGAATAGAACACATAAAACATATGTGTTTCTCATATTTGACTGCAAACGTAGCAATCCACCTTAAGCAGGAATGCCATGATTTGTGATGTCCAGGAGTGCTTGGACAGCTGCCAAGTAACAGACATACATCACTTGTATTGCAGGTTGAGGTGAGCTTGCACACATGCAGTGCAAAATCTATCAAACAGGTTTGTGGTCGGCTCAGGAATGGTGGCCACACAAGTAGCGATAGGATCATGCCACTGATCATTCAATACAACTAAAATAACATTTATAAGAAAAAAAAATCAAACACAATCACTCTAGTCAGCTCTCAATAGATTGAGTCCACCAAGACTGACAGCTCTGGCGGAATTTTGTTGATTACTTCTGATTAATCAAATATCTTTGAGTGTCAGGAGAGTGGATGGTAATTCAGATTGATTAAATTATTTTTTTTATTAGATTGCATCTTCGATTGATATAGTGAGTCGATCGCGAATTGTCGGGCAATACCGTGTGTTGCATTGTTTGATGGATAATAAATTGCTTGGGATCAATGATACCTAAATCAAATCACGACATGTATGACCACTATTCGAGAGGGATTTGTGTGCGTGTCACATTTATATTCCCTTCCTGCCAGAACAGAACTGTCTTAGTGTCAAGCCACAGAGCCCCATGGAGGCTGACCCATCTCCTGCCTGAGCTCAGGAATTATATGGGATATGCCTAGTCTTCTGGAGGAGGGTAAACATATCTAAGCCTTGAGGCTTCTTGTGCAATTTTGATGGCGTCATGACAGTTTTAGGAGTGTCTGTTATCATGGGGCTTAGACAGGAGATAGGGGGCACAATGTGACAGTGAAGATTTCGATTATGGTAGCTTAAAAACGGAGACTGCCACCAAACTGAAAAACACTTTTACTTGTTGTACTCCTTACCAAAAGTCCCTTGTAATGGGGTGGGTGCTTGCAGTGACCACAGATGGCGCCGCAGACATCAGCAATATATAGAAATGTCACCAGCACCCCAAATAATTTTAGGATAGCAAAATGTCATTTATTTGCAGTTCCTTGTCAGATAAGGAATTGCAAAAGAGTGACCATTTCTATATATTGCCCCCAAACTGATCCTGCTGGCATGAACCAGTACATCTGATCACATGCTATAGACTTGTTGCAGTCACTACCACACCCGCTGCACCAAGTGGACAGCAAAATACATGCCACAGCTTTGACAAAGCAGAATAAAAAGGAGGTTCAGATTATTAGAGATGCCCATTAGTCACTGGTTCTCCATGTATTACCCTTTGGAAACAGCCCATACCCCACTTTTCAAATGCTGCAGAAAGACTTCCAGCCAGTTCAGGATTGTACCCCCAACTCCAAGTGTGTCAAATAAGTACTATACATAAACCTGAAAGCCTTTACCAACAGTAATGGTGCATTTACAGAAACTATGGGCTTCTGTGCACTAATACATAGGATGAGGCATTCAAATATATACATGCATACACACTTACCAAGCAGAGCACATCCAGCCATTTGGCAGGCCTTCGCGATACCAGAGACCACAGAGGATGCCACGGACACATCTAGGGCCCCACAAGCAAAGTAGTCCAGGAAGAACAGGGGTTCTGCTCCCTGTGCCAAGATGTCATTGACACACATGGCAACCAGGTCCTGTCCAATGGTGTCATGTTTGTTACACTCCTGTGCAATCTACAAAAGGATAAACAATGTGAACTGAAAAGATCTCAAAATTAGGCGATAAGCTCAATGTTTAAAGTGACATTAAAGTCACTTTCTCCCCCCCCTCTTATTCTGCTTTTAATACTTACCTTTTGTGATGCCTCTGGATGTGATAATCTTCCTTCCACTCATTTCCAGCAGTACCTCCAGCGCTGGTGCCGGTCTCCGATCCGGCATACTCCTTGGTCTGCTGTGTCCCATGGAGTCTGTCTGCCGTGCACGCTCATGGCTGCGTACATTGACTTCCACGGAGTCTCTCCTCCTCTCCCCACTGGTGATATGGACTGCGCATGCACCAGCCCACATCATCCTCCTGCATGGCTGTTGCAATATGTGTTCTGCAGCCAGGTGCAAGCAGGGCAGACACCGGTAAGAATACCATATTTTGGCCACTTTTTTTTTTATGTTGTGACATATCTACAGCAGATATCCAGAAAAAAAAAATAGAATAGGCCAGTGAAGCCATGTTCATAAAAGTGCGAGATAAATAGAGGCCACCACTGTGACTTCTAAAAAATGCTAGTTGGCTGTCCATTATGAGGATTCAATAGTTTTGACTCAATGACTCCGATCACAGGTTCCATAGCCAGCCTGACTTCACTAACTAATTGCTTGTTCTCAATCAGTGACTCAATATTCATGATTGACCGCCCAGCAACCAGCATTTTTCCAAGAGGAACATGGCAGCCTCAGTTTCTCACAGCAGATTTCTTGACATTAAATGAGTATACTGCTCATCAGTTTGCTAGAATTAGCAATAAGCACTTCAATTTGTTAATCACCATAGACCTATTTTCCAGAAAACCTAACATTTAAATTGGATTTACAAAGTGCAGATTGCACAATACCACAAACCCTGGCTCTCCTGCAATCATATACCCAAATACCCAATCACAAAATAAGGTACACTATGTGACCATGGGTATGTGGACACCCCTCCAAATATTTGTTTTCAGTGAGGGTACTGTACACGTTACAACATAAATACATTTCAGAAAATTGTGAAACCTGGTGGTAACAAGACTACTGTGCCCCTGTGCACAAAGCCAGCACCCCAATTACATGGTTTGGCAAGTTTAAAGGTCAGATCTCTCCACACCAAACACTTTTGGCATGAATTCGAACACTTATCGAGAGCCAGGTCTTCTCATCCAACATCACGACCTGACCTAACAAAACTGTATTTTGGCTGAGTGGACAAATTCCAAGAGACTGCAAAATTGGATGGAAGGCCTTCCCAAAAGAGCGGAGGTTGTCCTAGTTGTAAAGGGTGTACCAACGGAATCATTTTCATGGTTTCAGAATGGGATGTCAAACAAGTTCACACAGGTGTGCTGGTCAGGCGTCCCCAAACTGTTGGCTATGTAGTCCCCGAATCCTCACTGATCCCAATGATAAAATTGCTAGCAGCAATCTACTTTATGTCAGTCATATAAAACAGATACTTTTTACTTATTCCTATTTACCTTGAGTTTTGTTCCAACACCATCTGTCCCAGACACCAGAATGGGGTCTGTAAATCCTGCCGCTTTAAGGTCAAACAGCCCAGCAAATCCTCCAAGCTCTGCATTGCATCCTGAAAAAATACCCCAAATCAATAGATAATTCAAGTCACAGGAGACAACTGCAATGAAGGGGGGAGCTGAGCGCAGCGAGTGAAACATAGGCCCATTTACACTTCTCTGCTTCACGCAACCTTCAGGCCTCCAGCAAGCACAACGGTGCCAGGCTTCTAGCAATACAAATTAGTCTAATGCAGTTCCTGCATTTCAATTGTATTTTTTGTTCAACAAATTAAAATCATGGCAGAGGATTGTTTGAGGACTTCTCTTTAAGAGACAGTACTTAAAATGTTCTAAAACCAGAAAGAAAAACAAAAAAA